TAAAGGTAGCACCCCGAATCAGTTTTCGCAAAGAAAAAGGCTTTATTTTTACATAACTTTGCGAATTTTAGCGCACTCTTAATTTAGAGTAAGGAGGGGTGTTACAATTGGTATCAGAGCACGTTTCTGCGTCTCTGATATGTTTTTCAGTCAGAAATTTTTCAGAAAAACCTGAACCGTCATGTTCACGCCCCGCCGACGACAGGTAAGTGCTGATTCAGTTTTTCAGTTATAAACATATTACTTTGTCTATGCTCAGAATTATGGATCAGGACTTTAGTTAAGATGCTTGAATAAGGTTCAGACTTTAGAGTTCGGACATGACTCTAGAATTCAGGCATTCAGATACGACTCTAGACGTTAGGATTTTCCTATATGACTCTAGAGTTATTCAGGTTTCACGTCAGTACTTATCGGCCATTTTTGGCAACTCGTCAAGAGATCTGTGTGCCTTAGTAATCAGTCAGTAATGTTTTCACGTATTCAGTAATGTTAACTTTTCTCAATGTTCAGATGTCGCCACGTAGGGAGCCCGATCATCAGGTTCCTACTCAGGCTACGGTAGTCGCTCAGTTCCGCGACTATCACGCCGAAAAGTTCTCAGGACAGGGAGACCCCCGCATCGTTGATGAATGGATTCAGGGGTTGGAATTTATCTTTGAGGTTATGGAATGCCCCGATAGGTATCGCGTAGTTTGCGCTCAGCTTCAGCTCACTGGTGATGCCAGGCTCTGGTGGAACGCCTACTGGAGCATGCGTCCTGGTGAAAAGGCGGGTTGTACATGGGACATGTTCAAGAATCTAGTCCGCGACAAGTACTACCCTTCCTACTATCGGGCAGAGATGGAGCGCCAGTTCTTAGCGCTTCAGCAGGGCACTCGTACAGTCGATGAGTACGAGCGAGAGTTCACCAGACTTGCAGGTTTTGCACCGGATCTTGTTCGCACGGAGGCCCAGAGAGCGCAGCGGTTCATTGATGGACTTTACCCAGCAGTCCGTCATAACATCGTGGTACACGGGACTCAGACGTACGCTCGTGCCGTTTCTATCGCCCAGGAGGTGGACGCTAGTATCAGGAGGGAGGCAGTTCGTGATCGTGCCCAGCCATCCGCCCCAGCTCAGCCAGTTGCAGTCCCACCAGCTCTACCAGCCCCTCAGCCAGCAAAGGAGAAGAAGAGGAAGGGAAAGGGTGCACAGATTGACCAGAGGACCCGACAGAGACAGCGGCCGATCCCACCGTGCCCGACTTGTGGTCGACTTCACAGGGGAGAATGTCGTGCTGGACAGGATATTTGTTACTATTGCCAGGAG